TTGCTAAGCAAGAGCTTTGTTAAGTGAGTTTCACCACATTTTCCAACTTGGCCACTCCCTCCCGGTCACATGACTACTAAGCCACTCCCACAAAACAGGCCACACCTACAGAATAGGTTCTAAAAAAAATTGAAACCTATCACTGTTTCATAGAAATGCTTTTATATCCTTAAATAAGACTTTAATCATATAGGAGCTCCTGATGCTCTATCCCAGTCTTCCCTGACTTGGTGTGTTAGCCTGAGTTTGTCATTGCTGAACATTTGGGGATTTGGCTCATGTATATGGTTGGGAGATGACTACTGTATGCATAGGTTTTGTCTAAGGCACCGATCCCAATTACATTGAATGACTTCTTCCTTTCCTTTGTATCAGGGGTGGGTTTCTGCTGGCATTACTGCCGGTTCGCTGTGCATGCCGTGTTGCACACATGCTGTACACACAATATTGTTCTGCACATGCACAGAACATTAAAAGAATAAAAAACGTGTTGGCAATGCATGGGAACCGGTTCAAGGGTGTGGCCAACCAGTTCGGCAAACCCTACCAATTTTGTGACCAGCCGGTTCGGTGAACCCTATCGGTCTGGCAACCCAGTCACAATTTCCACTACCAGTTCACCCGAACTGGTGCCAACTGGTAGCACCCACCTCTGCTTTGTATGCTTTCAGCAGTCTTTTGACTTGGAGGCAAGCCAAGGAATGTGAACCTTTGCTATTGGATTGGCAGTAGCAGAGGCATTGCTGACTATACTAGTGAAGCAGTAGGCTGGGCATAGTGCTGCTAACTTGCATGTCCAGAGTCAGGAATATTATGTAAGAGGAACTTTGATTCCAAGTGTTTATCACTGGCAAAATTCCTTTGGTAGTTGCTGACAACTTTTAAATCCTAATACAGGATTCAGGAGCATCCATAAAATGGGTCCAGAAAATAAAGACAATAGCCTGATGTGAAATTTAATGTAGCTCTTATTAATTGTTAATTTTGCTCAATTATTAGTAATTTGCTAGCTTTCTTCATTAATTATTAAATTATTTTAACAATGGCATTAAAATGCTAAATTGATATGTCATTATGCTAGTTGGTGACTAATATTTGATTGATTTGCTATAAATAAATTCATCCTCATGGACAGTGCTAATCTAATATTTAGAATTTTTAAATTCACGTATACTGTTGGTAAATCTCTCTTCCATTTTTTTTGTATTGCTCTTCTATTTCTGTTTCTGCTTCTATTTTATTGTGTTTTTAAAAATCTATTAAAATGAAAAATATACGACGTAAAAAGTCAAGTTGGTAGTCACTATCACACAGTGGATGCACAGTTTATGTGCATCACACAGGACCAACACCAAAAAATAGGAAGGCTTCAATTATGGCCACCACCTTGAGTTTTTCTGAGCCTTCCCTCCACAGATGCCCCTTCAGGTTGGTTTTACTTATTATTTTGGCTGCTATTGATAGCTGATTGTGTGTGCTAATCCAGCAGAGATCAATTTTATTTATATGCCATTAAATCAAAATCAATTGTCGATGTTCTGACGTTATGGCGGGGACTTTAGGGCTGGCCATTACCGGGGAAGGAGGGTTCGCTACGTTACAGAGATCCCTCCTTCCGGCCCTA